AAAAAAAAAAGGTTTTTTGATGGGAAACATCTTATTATTCCACCACCCACCAACGAAACCCACTTCACATCCCGCGCAAGTTTTTAGAAAACAAAGCACATCTACATTGTGCTAATGCCTAATGGTGTGTGCTGTCCGTAGTGAAGTCGAAATGTCACAGCCAATTCCGGTAGACATTCTGTCCGACTCCGATTCCGACGGCGATCGGCGGCAGGGTTTCGTTAACGATGCCATAGACCTAACTACTCCGCCGCCCTACCCCCAATCGAAGAAGAAACAAAGGATAGAAACATTTTCAAACCCTAGCAATTCAAACGTCCTCTTCATCGACGACGACCCCACGCCATGTAAGAAAAACCCGTCTTCCTCAGCCCCTGCGTCCTCAACTCCTTCATTCGTCGCTGAGACGCCGTTCTCTGATGCCTCAATCGTCAAATGTTCCACCAGAAAATTTTCAATTTCCGGTAACATTTCAACGCCCCACTTATATTACGGCTATTTGTGCCATGTTCTAGTATGGGGCTCTCATCAGCTTCAGGCATTTCTTATTTCTTCAAGTGAATTTTCATTTTCGTTCTTTTCATTGTTATGCACAATGACATCAAAATAGAACGGAATGGCTTCTGGAATAGTTGCAATCAGTGCACATGGAGTTGAAAAACCTGATATTGTTTCTGAAATATTATTTCTTGTATGTTCAGTTGAAGATTTTGCTACTGAGCAACTTGTAGTTGCTGACACTCCAATGTCTGAGGTTTTGAAGTCTAAAGTCTTGCTGACTAAACGTGACGTAGGAGTCCCTGATAGTGACAATGCATTTGTGATGTCAAAGCCTAAATCTGCTAGTGAGTTTGGATTTTTCTGTTGTTTTGAATTAGATAAAGTTTACTTCTTTATAGGGTTCATTATCTAGTTGGTAAATTTTCAAGTTCTCCTTGAAGGAAAAAATCGGTCCAAGCGGAACCCATGAAACACAAAAGTGATTATCCGGGCCTTGATATACTATGTTTTTGCTCAATAATTGTACGGGTTTTGCATTCGTAGTAAAAAATATGGCGCACAAGTAGCTGCATGGCATATGTTGTTCATAGTTGATATTCTCATGTTTTATGACATAACTATGAACATGGGGTGTGTTCACCATGTTTTGTATGCATTAAAAGCGTATTTCACTTACCAAATTGGTTCTCCCTTCGATGGTGCATACTTCTCAAATTATAAGATGTACTAACACATGGACGAAAGATATGAGTTATATGCTGCTGTTCTGGGGTATCTTGCTGCATGATGTTTTCCTCATAAAGCACCTTAATGCGGCGGTTCAATATTTTCCAACTCTCTTCAGCCTTAATATGTGATGGTAATCAAAGTAATGACGTGTTTCAGAAGCCAGTGGACTCATAGCCCTGGAGTCAGATAATGAGTCTGAAAGTCTTGGTGGAATTGGTGCTTCGAAACTGGATGAAAGTGGGTTTGCTTTTAAATCGACAGATGAGCTGGAATTTGACTCTAGAAATGCAGAGTCCTCATTTTCTCTTGGTACCTTTGCTTATCACGTGTCTGATGCTTGATATTGTCGTCTTATTAGCACTACCCACTCGAATGGAGAGAAAAAACATTTTCTTAGGTTGATTAGATGATTTTTCAGGCACTTCAGTGCAATTCCAGAAGAAACACTTGCAGACTCCAGTTACAGTGCACATATTAGATGGGTGTTCAAGTCCAGGTGTCATGGAAGATGGCATATTTGTGGTGGGTTTTCTTTAATGCATATGTCTAATCACCAGTTTAGCTCAGAAATTATTTCCTTGGCAACCATATAACCTATATCTTTTGACGAGTGACTTTGTTAGATGAAGATCCTGTGCATCTGCGGCATACAATAAAGCAGTGACACTTTTACAATAGTAAATTAAAATCTGATGATCAGGAATGCATGATCAATATCTGAAATTGTTATACTTTGAGATTGGATTCATAGTCATCTATCATGTCATAGATTTCCATTTTCTGCAAACTTTGTCCTTGAACCAACATTTTAATTTAATATGAACTTGTAGCTCTTTGAACTAAATATGTGCATCTTCTCCTTTCTGTGAGCAATTTTTCATACATAAAAAAGTTATAAAAAATTCACCACTTCTGTATGATGCAATTATTATGCTGCTTTTGGATTTTTTCTCTACAATTTTCTTTATTAGCTGATTTGTGGGTGACTTTAAATTTTGCTAAGCTTGTTACAATACTTGGTTCTTATGAGCTTACATAAGTAAGTCAGCAGCACAGAGAAGCAGAAGCTCATATGTGCCCCAAATATTGAATTTTTAGTTTCCTTTGACATGCCTATATACTACTAAAACTTTGTATGTTTGTTTATCTGTGATAGAGATTTTCATCATCTATGTCACCCGGGCTTGAATCCTGAACTGGTTGAGTATAGATTTATTCCTTTTGATGTATTATATTTTTTTAATTGGATTTTTGAATATGTCTGTAGGCATGTGATGACGCTGATTACAATGCTTGTAAAATAGACTCCCCAGATCAAATCTCGAGTCAACAAAACAACACTGTGTGCTACGTGAAAGGGAAAAAGAAAGCAGATGTAATAGTTAAGCCAAAGAGAACATCAAAGGAGGAGAGACTTCGTCTGATGGAAGAAAAGAAAAGGCTCAAAGAAGTATTTCACTAAAATTGCTTGTGTTGTCATGTTTGTCTGGATTTCTTTGTGTTTGTAAAGACATTTGATTTCATTTTTGATATATCTGGCATCTATTTGATTTTTAACAGCAAGAGAAAGTGGCCAAAGCTGCTTCGAAGGCTCAAGCTGCTGAATTGAAAAAATGCAAGAAGGAAATGCAGAAATGGGAAAAAGGAAAATATGCTCTAAAATCCATTGTAGCTGAAATTGACAAAAATGTGGTTGAACTTGGAACGATTGGAGGTAGAATCTTTCTTCTATATTGTTTGTCACTTTCAGTCATAAATGTTATGTTGTTCTATTGGCTCATTTGTACTTGTATTATTTTATTTATTTACGCTGCTCTTGAGGTGCCTAAGCAGTCTTTTATCTTCTCTTAGTTTAGGATATCTGCTCACAAGGTTTGGAGAAAAAGGCATTTCATATCGTATAACTTCCAATCCGGTGAAAAGAACGATTATCTGGAATATGAATGTTCCTGAAGAAATTGCTATGGTAATATTTCTAGTTACTATAATTTTGTTCTTTCTAATGCTTTATTTTCTAGTTTCTGGGACTTTAGATTTTTTTCTTGTGTTATGGTTTCTTATATCTCATCATAGTTACTTTAGTGCTCCGTCAAATTAATATTTCTAGGTTTAGAGCTTAACTTATGCCTGCCATGATTGTTATAACTTGCAGATTGCATCTGAGCGAATTGAAATCTCTTATGTTTTGATTGTATATGAGGCTGAAGAGTTCTGCAACCTTGTAATGAAAGAATCTCTTGCGGATCATATTCAGAGTGTTCGAGATCGATATCCTCACCATACTATATGTTACTTAACCAATAGGCTTATGGCTTACATAAATAAAAGGTGAGCAGTTATTTCCTTTGTTCTGTCATTTATTATTCTTGTGTTGCACCTCTTCATGAAGGCATGAAAGAGCACAGCTGAAATTTATAGCTCATTGCAATCATACTGAAATGCTTACTGTGTGTTTACACTATTATAATTGTGATTTACCCATTTAAGAATGACTAGCAGATGCACCTATTCGTACATCGTCATTTTTTTTTTAATACATTAATTGCAATTTTCATAATAACTGAGACCCTATATCTGGTTCTTAGATTGTAGAATTGTTTGTTGATATTACACTACATGGAGGGTTTTCTGGTATTTTTACTAGCTTGCCTGTAATGTTTATGGCATTTAGTAATTTCTTCTGCAGAGGGATGGTTTTTTCTAGGTTTTTTGTACTTCAAATCTTACAGTTGTATATTTATCAATAATTCTTGGTGCCACTGGTGTAGTGATCACGCAAAGTACAAGAACCTTGACAACCACAGTAGTTGGAAGCTCCCAGCTATAGAGAAGGTAACTTAGCAATGAAAGCAGAGTGCTTGAAATACTCTCTACCACAGTGATTAAATCGCGCGTGAATTTTCAACTGATTAGCTTCAGTCTTGTGTTATAGGTTTTAGCTGAATTAGCCACACATTATTTTGGAGTGCATTCAAGGCAGTGTGTTGATGAAGCTGAGTTAGCAGAGCATGTAGTTGGTTTGACTTGCAGCCTTGCCTCCTGCCAGTTTAGGTAAGCCATAATGTGCTTTATGTTTCAGGGAGCAAACACACACACATACACACAAATGAATGTGCCATGGTTTGCTCCAATATGAACTCTGTGCTCGCAGGAAAAAGTTGACACGCTTATCAGTTAATGCAAATGGATCCATTATCCCTAAAGACTGCGCTGAGAAGAATTTACTAAAGAAGAACTTGTGGTAAGTAACTCAGATTAGTTTTTGTCATTTCAGTCAGCTTCAGTTTCACTTGTAATGGGCTTAATCAGTATAAACTTGTGATGGTGTATATGATCTTGCTCCCCAATATAGTCTTTGTTTTAGCTTATTAGAGTTATAATGTAGGCTTCCTTTGACTTTGAGTATATAGTTTAGCTTTTCGGCAAGTCTTTTAACTTATTAGAGTTGTAATGTAGCCTAGCATTGAATCTTTAAATTGTTGCACATGTTGATTGGAGGAAGAAATGTTGCACAAGGATCGGACTAACAAAGCTCAAGTAGTTAAGTTATAAGGAATCATATTTTGCACTTGTGTTGCTTCCTCCCCTAGTTAAGTTATTGTGGTTGATGAGTGGTGAAATTTGTGAAAATAAGTTTGCTGAGTATACTTGTTATCAATTGGTGTGTTCATTCATGCGTATTGTTCTCCATGTTATCAGATATGGTTATAAGAATTTATATAAATCATTTTCTCATTCAGGCTGAAGGCACTGGTAGCTATCCCTAAGGTGCAGCCGAGGTTTGCGATCGCTATTTGGAAGAAATACCCAACAATGAGATCTCTTCTGAGGGTTTACATGGATCCTACTAAATCTGTGAGTCTCAATTAACAACTAGATATGATTTTCCCCTCCTGAGACGGTTTCTTTATCTCCAATATACCTTTCATCTATATTTAGCATTTTTACTTTTTTGAAAGCTATGTTGAAAATCATCTCAAGAAAAGAAAAAAGAATCGAACTATCTTTTTGTTGATATTACAATACTTAAAAGCATGTTTGTTTATAAGATTTTTCAAAAAAAAATTCAACATTTTAACTAAACCACTTTTTTTAACTCAACTTTAACACAACCCCCACTATCATCAATATTATCAATATAATTAAATAATATCAATCAATCATCATACACACCACATCAACCTTAATTCACTATTCATCCACTCACATTATTTTAACTAACCATCACATCACATCTTCTCTCTCATACTTTTACATCAAACCAATTTTAATTATTTTATTTTAAATATTATTTTAATATTACCCACTAACAACTAATCATACTACATTTTCAAAATTAACCAAACCAAACCAAACCATCCAAACAAACCCAAGTGAATATTACCTTATTATTTTTTATTCTTTTTTAATTTTAATTTGCTTTTTTTTTCCCGTTAAAACTGGGTGTCGGATGATAAGATTATTTCTTTCGTACATGTTCATGTAAACTATAGTGAACCAATCCAGATATAATTATGCATATGGATTATCTGAACATTTCATCAGTAAATATCTTGTGTGCTAAATGGTTGAAACTGTACCAGTGGAAGGTGATGATGTTGTTTTTGCTCCAAGTGAATAACTTGTGTTCATCGTACTTGTTTTTTTGTTTCAATGCGCTATTTCCTTTCTATATTTGCTAGAATAATAGTTGTTATTTTAACAAACGTAATCAGGTATACGAGAAAGAATTTCTGCTCAAGGATCTGACGATAGAAGGCTTATTTGGCGATGATAGACGATTGGGTGAGGTTTGTTCCAAGAGAATCTACAGAATACTTATGGCTCAAAGTGCAAACATCAAAACAGACGATGTTGAGAATGGTGCCGGTTTCTTTAGCAATCACTCAGCTTAGGTAACCCTTCGCAATCATTCTGCTTAAGTAGTGCTTCTGATTTTACTATCCACTTTGCAACTGCTGTAGCTTTACGGAATGTTAGAGCATCTCCAATGCATTGGGTTTCTATTGGCTTCGTTGGCAAAAAATATAGACCAAGGTGTTAAATGATGTGGACAAACCCAATTAACAACATTTAAATGCCAGTCCATTTCCACACAAAAGGCAATTAATAGAAAAACAAAAAATAAAATGCAACTGTAAAAAAAAAAATTTAAATTGCACTTGGTGCACCTTCACTTCATCACAACAGTTTCCAAATGTTCGTCATTCATGCCTGCTAGGCGGCTCCATTTCCATCCTGACCACAATTGTCAATTACCATCCCCATTTTTAGTTTTCCTGTAAGTCAACCGGGGCCTTCGAAAATATTTAGAAACATCTTGGTCAGATTAATAATGCAATCTAGAAAGTAGTTGGTAATCATTTGAGAATTTTTCGAAAGCTTTGTATATATCTATTTCTCTGTCGGGGAATTTCTTGATTATCTATTTATATAGAATTTAATACAGATGTTTGGGAACTTAAGAAGTCGTTGCATTTAAAATATTTGTTGAGATTCCCCTATTGGAATTGAAAATACATAGGATTGTGTTTTTAAGGATAAAAAAATGCGCTCAGGAAAAAAAAAAAGACTTTACTTTTTCCAATCCTTTGTAGCCGTAAGGATCTTTTTTAATATTTTCTATCAGTAAATGTGTTGTAAATTCTTCATTAAAATATTTTTTTATCTTCCTTCTTTTTCTATATTTTTTAAATATGGTTATTCTAAAACCTTTGTATCATTTTATTTCAGTTTCGCTAGGAAGCCAACAGTTGGCTCTATAGTGGAGCCAACCTTCTATATACAACAAGTAAATCATACCATATTCTCTGATTACTTAAATAACACTACTAATTTTATTAATATAGTATGGTTTACTTGTTGTATATAGAAGGTTGGCTCCACAATGGAGCCAACTGTTGGCTTCATAGCAAAACTGCATTTTATGATGCTGTCATTTATAAATGAATATATATATAATTCTGTTTGTATCTTAATTGATATTTCTATTGTTGTTCGACTTTTTTTCTGAACTCAGAGGTGCCCCAGTTGGTTTCATTAGTTCCTTTATAAATCATTGTCGGACATAGTGAAAATACCGCAGAAATATCATTTCACGGTTAAATACCTTGACTTCTTTTTTTTTCCCCTTCCAGTTTTCACTTCTTGCAATAATTAGAACTCCAAGCTAGCTTTCAACGATATATATGTAATTTCGAATATAAAAAATGATACCCATTATTAAAATTATCTATAGAGAATGATATTCATCATTAAAATTTTGAAGTATGGTATCCCATATAAAAAATGATATATTGATTCATTGTTGAGTCCTACTTGCTTACAAGTTACAACCATCTATGTGACTGTATATATATATATATACATAACTCAAATTTAATGATTAATAGGCTATGCAATGAATGCCATTTAAACAATTTGATTATATGGTTTAAAAAATCACTCATCACATGTATCTGTTATATTCATCATTGAGGTAATTATTATACAGTAATAGATATACAAAGCAAGATGTGATGAATATATGTGGATGATAATGAATAATACTGAATATTAAGATAATATTCATCCTTTTAGATCTACGGTGCACCATGGAGTACGATGCATGATGAAAATAATAATCTGGATGGATCTCAGTAACTGAGAGATAAAAAGGCCCACATATTAAATTAACTAATGAAGAAAACAACCCCATTTGCCTGCTTTAAAGCAAAGCATTGCATCTCGCTGTTGCTGTCTATGTTTAAGCCCGTTGGGGCCGAATCTCCTCCTATCCTAACTTTTCCCGGGCCCACTACCCAGCAAAATGAGTTCCCTAGAAAACTGTAGTCATCCAGTTACCTCAACCACTTACACTTAATCCATGTCTCTCTGCATTTTACATGAGAATAAGATTAACCAACATGTTACCAATTACATTATTATGCTTGTCTAACAACTTATTTAAGGAAATAAAATTTAGTCTTCATGTAACCCAAATTATGATTTTGTAAATATACACCTACAGTGTACACATATCACTAAAGAAAAATGGTTGTAATAGCTGAAAAATACGTGATCAAAACAAATAGGTAGAAAAAAATTGTCATTTTTCAGCATACCAAGTGTACTGCACAGGCTGTAGCATGAATAATACATATAAACCAATGATAGCACCATTGTTACTAGCATTCATTTAGCATATATACATGAAAATCTTTTAAGTATATTTTACTGTCCAATCAAGCCCACACTTGTCTTGCATGTGGTCCAACTAGTGTTTGCTCTCTTGATACAAAATTGCAACAGCCAACAAGCGTGGTTCTTGTTTTTATAAATCTGAGTTTGCCTCTTTTTTGTCATGGAAAAGAATATATCATTCTCTTATTACTCATCTTTTTATGCCGATGCCGGATTGTATTTTGAAAATCGTTCTAAATCTTATAGTTTTAATGGGCCGGTGGACGACCCGGTGGTGAGGAGGAGTAAGAGGGTAGCTGGCTATAATATGTATGGTATGGAAGCAAAGCTCAAATTCTCATTGAGCAGCAGTTTTAATGGATCAAGAGCAGGTTTTCATACAACTATCCTCATACTTGAGAAAGGTTTGTGCCACAAGCGTATATTTATCTAGTTTGTCGTATGCCATTCAAGCTTGTGGTGTTGGGCTTTTTCGTCACATCTTTTTTTTTTCCTCATATTATCTGACCTTGTGTGAGCATTTGTAATATTTGATAATGGATCTAAGTATTCAATCAATATGAGGTGGGATCATCTCACTGAATAAGAAAAACGGAAAAGCGTAATATGAAATTGGTTGTGTACATACTTATATTCGTCATTTTGATAATATGCTATTGGAAATTCTGGGATTCATGGAACAGTTTGTTAGTAAATACTAACATCAACTAATTCATCAAATCGGCTACGTCACTCAATTATCGGAATTTAAACAGACACATTACAAAGTCAGAGTTTAGTTTATTTAAGTATGGATTACATGAGGTTGCTAGCAAACTGATTGTTACAAAGTCTGAGTTTAATTTATCAAGTTTGGATGACATTGTATTTGATGTTTGAGGTTGATTGCAAACTGATTATGGTGATTGTTACAAAGTCTGAGTTTAATTTATTTCATGTTTGAGGTTGCTTGCAAACTGATTATGGGACCATTGTTCATATTACATATATGGTACAGAGCATGTTAGGCTATGTTTGGTAAGCCAAATAAGCTAGCTTATAGCTTATTTGGTTTGCTTATAAGCTTCATGTATTCAAATAAGTCTCGTTTGGTAGGACGAGCTTTTTTAGGTATGCTTTTTAAATAAGCTAGTTGAATTTTTTATTTCAGTTAGCTTATCAGCTAATTTTACCAAACACTTTTATCATATAAGCTTGTTTTTCAGCTAGAAATCATAAGCTCAAAAATTATTTATAAGCTATAAGCTAGTTATCAGTTAGCTTATCAGCTAGTTTTACCAAACATAGCTTTAACCAAAGACAATCTGAGTCTTAGTTCCAGTTAGATGAATAATGCAACTTCTTTTCTCAAAGATTTTTCCTTAACGCCTGAAAATGAAAGCTATAGCCGCGATAATAAGCCTAAGCGCAAATTTGACTGTGATTCGCATGTATTTGAATCTCGCTAAGTGGCCAAATCAGTCCCAATCTAGTAGCTCGAGCTGCCCGCCTTATATACGAAAACATTTCAACTTTTCCATCCCGAAAATTCTCCCTAATATAGGAAATCAGAAGCCATACTTACGAACCAAACCGAAAATTTTGGCATTATGATATACTCATATCGATGCCGAACCGATTTTCAATCGGCTGCCTAAAATTTGGTGAACGAAAAATCGGTCCGGTGTTAGTATTACCGAAAATGCAACAACAAAGGCTAGTTTGTAACTTCAAACCTAAACAACTGCAAATATGAAAAGAAATATAAAAATTCAAGAAAAGAAATTACAGAAAAGAACAATGATAAGTGCTGAATTTCAAACTCAAAACATATGCAAATTATATAAATAATAATAATAATAATAAGACGATTAAAAGAGAGAAAAAAAAGCTAAAGACAGTTCAGTGAAATCTTGGTTCAATGGAAAAAATTAAGGATTGAAAGTTTAGTGAGACACTTCAAAAATTTTCGCTCATTTTTAGAACCGTCAAGTGTAAAAATCTGCCTAAGTGGTGAGGTTAAGTCGAGGACTTTTAATTATTCCTATACCTAAGGGTGAAATAAGGCATGATACTCTCTATAGGAGAATCACCTTTGTAAGTGAGAAGTAAATAGGCCGCTTTAATCAACCACTTATTAAACCAAGATATGGTCTAATATGGGATATTATATTTAAAGGAGTAAACCGGTTCATTAATCCCGTCGAACGAGTCAATTATACTGAATGGGCCGCCTCGGTCGAACAGAACCGAGCATAATGGTCATGATCAACCAATCCCCAGATAGAGCGCAGTCAACAGATCGACCTAAGGAGGATCGAGCATAAGAGCCTTCATCGGGATTTGGGGAGAATCTTTACCCCATGTGTGGAGGACACGTGGTGCAACGTAAGTGGTGTAGGCGATAACCGCTTCTGACACACATAGTGTGCGTGTGTATGGACAAGCGGCTTTGGGCAGACAATGCACCAAATTCGAGTATCCCTTAGGTCAGGTACGTCACCCCTATATATAGGGGTGAGCTTTACTTGTTGAATACGATTTGATCCATTTTTACTCTTGAGAATTGAGTAGAACATATACTGACTTAAGCATCCGAGGCTCTTCACCGAAAAACTCCTCAGGTGTGAGAGTTCTTTTCAAGTACACGTCGTTCTACAGGCAAGCAGGGAGGAGGCGAACCGATTTCCAGCTAGTCGGAGTGTTTTATGTTACCATGGTCCACGACCGAAATGGAAACAACGTGAGAAGAAGAAATTGTTAGAGTTGTTGTTGTGTGAGTACTATTGTCTTGGTGCACACAAACTACCGGTAAATTTAAAGCATCGTGTTACCAACCAGCTAGTATATCCGATAGTATTTCACTAATAAGGAAGATTCAAAGCCACAAACTATCTATCCTGATGCAATGACGGATCATTGGGACTCTCAAGTATTACATACAAGCATTAATTTCATTCATGTGGGGGATTGTAAGAAAAATTGATTTTGTACCGATTTTATGGTTTTATTTTTGTAAGTAGAAGACTTAAAAAATTCTCAAAACCAATTTAAGATGAATGAGAAATTCATCCTAAGTTGTATATGTGGAAATGTAAGGTTGAAACAATGAGTTTAAGTAACTAAAATTATTGGATTCGTAAAATATTTTATCTTTGACGAATGTTAAAATAAGTCAAATGACACCTGATCATGCAACTTGCATGTTATAATTCTAGTAGGGTTCGTTGGGATGAGTAAGAAAAAACGGAACTCGATTTCGAGTTTGTATGAGCTCATACGAGACTGCGGCGCACGGGCGCGCAGCTGGCTGCAACACGGAAAGGTCACAACCCATGGTGACTATATGGTGTCTTTTGGCCTCTAGATGCATCAGTTCTCTTCGAGTACATTCTAAAAGGTGTCTTTAACACTTAAACCTCTTGGAGGTGTTTTCTTACATCTAAAAATACCCACGTACATGAAACTATTAACAACTTGAAAATAAGAGAACTCTTGCATTATCTTTCAAAGATCACATAGCATATTGTGTTCTTTGATTTTTTCGTTGAGTTTTGAGAGTTCCAGACAGTAGTATTGTTTGCCGAAGACTTGTATATTTGAAGTACCGCTATATACAAGTCGAAAGTTGTTGTATCTGGAGGAGTCTACCATTAACCGTGGGTATTTTACGAGACAATTTCGTCTTAAGGAGAACGTAACTATTACGTGCCTCGACTTTGATTTTCTTTTTTGTTTCCTTCATTCTCCTTAAGCCATCTTCTTGATATTCACAAACCACACAAACAACGAGAAATACAAAAATTGAAATTTTGCTACTACAACATTTTCCATGTCACATGCTACATGATATCTATTAAATTTTATCATTCAATGTGATATCTTTTAAATTTGATAAGGTTCAATAGTGAATTAACATTAAAATAGTAATGTATAACCTACTAATTTTTAAATTCTTCCCACCTTTTTATTTGGAAAGAAATTGTTATAGATTGGATTAATACAATATTTATTGTTTCGAAAGATGAGAGTTTAAATGGGATTAGTACAATATTTGTTGTATGGGTGGATAAAATACAAAGAAATGGACCACAGTTTGATGTCGCTTAAGTAAGGTTTATGATTCGAGTTCTTGTGAATGCAGAAAATTCTTGTTAGGAGATTCACCTACCATTACTAGGTGTGCGACTCGGGTCCAAATAGTCTGGACAAAGCTTCGGATACCGTGGCTGGCTAAAAAAAAAAAAAAAATACAAAGAAATGGAATGTTCGTGAATCTTTTCCTATAGATAAAGCTGATGATTTTTATATAGTTGAAAGAGGCAAATATTTCAAAGTTATGACTAAGAACTCAAAGTTGATAGTGTTTGATCATGTACTAAGTGCTTTATATATAATTATGTAACGCTAAAATCAAGAATAGATTAAGTAATCTAAAACACTCATCACATTTATTCCAAATTATGATTACACGGAACAAACCGATCCCGAAATTTGACATTTGCGAACACGATTTTTTCCCTTGGTTTTTGTAACACTCGTGTACAAATATATTAAATTAACGGGAAATACTGCGGTTGTGTTACGGAACCATTTTGTTGGGGTTTGTAACCGTTAGATAATCGTGTAACCGTCGGGAATAGTTGATCTAACGGTTATAAACCCCGACGGAATAGTTCAGTAACGGGACCGTAATATCTTCATAAATTAATATATATAGAGTTTACAATTTTAAATTGTGATCAAGTTCTATGTTTGCATGGTACTTAAATATATGTAATTTATTTTTGTCATTTTCCTAAATTGACATAGGAAATGGAAAACAATTTGACGAGATTATAACATGTTAAATTAAACAGTATAAATACGAAAATTGGATAATTAAGTACGTAGGATACAAATTAAGTAGACAAAAAGTGTTACAATGACGTGAAATTAAACTCTACTTAGGGGTTATTGTTATTACACAGTTTGCTTATAAGTATAAAGAGAA